AAATTTATGTACACTTATGATAACCACTACATGTTATTGAAAATAAATAATTAGATCATTCATTAATACTAAACTGAACTATGGATCTAAAAATAGAAAACTATAAAATACAGATTGTATATTTTAAAAGTTTAGAAAAAGCTTGGACATGCGCTTCATGGTAAAGTGCGTGTGGTCTAACCGCAAAGATGGCCCGGCCCTTATTGTAGTTGAGACAATGAGTGAATTTACGAAGGGGGAATTCTTGTATCTCGGGTGAGCACGTAAATCTGGAGTGTTCAATCACAACTTCCACATTTAGGGCTACCAAATTTTCAGTCAAATCTACAGTCAAAATTCCAGCCAATGAGTTATTTAAACTATATGTATAAACCAGTAGCCTAGCTTTTAACATTTGCAATATCTACCCATTCGGTGCTCTAATATTCATGCAACAAGTAGGCGCAGTAAGGATGTATAAATCGTGAGCTTTATTGACCAGAACTGAGCGAGGATGGCAGGAAAACTCATTATATTCATTGCTTTTATTATGGCTTCGACACTTTGGCTGTAAGTATATCGATGTTAGAATGTGTATAGTGTTCTATTTATAAATATCTTGTACTAAATAAGTATATCGTAACGAGGTCTCGCTTTGAGTCAATGCTTTAATTTATTTTCAATTAACTAAGGAGGTCTGAGCTTTAGCGCTAAGATGTCCGTAAATCAAAAACGTATTGAATATCATTTAATAAATTACGTAATATTGATTATTGTGCCATAATTGCACGGCTGTTATATTTCGATGATTTCTAGTTACCTTTTGAACCTTAATTAAAAATCAATGGTTACGACAAAGTCTACAGTAGCGTAACAAAAGAAAAAAAGCTTCATGAACCAGATGGAGGCTGTGTGAATAACGACCCACCTGCTTCCGACACTAACCTGATTTGTTTTATCCCCTTTTGTGTTAAAAAGGTTTTTGGAGGGCTGTCTGCTGATATTTTTCATTCATATTAATTATTTAAATTACGTTTAAATTATTATAAGTGTTATTAATTTTTAACACTGCGTTGCGAAAACTAGTACAAATATTAATAATTAAATAATACGGAGGGCAACGGGCGGCCTTATCGCTTTCGGGCGAGCTCTTCCAGACAACCTTTTAAGAAATCGTAAAATTAAATAAGGTGAGCGCAAGAAGTGCAAAATTTCATAAGATATACTTAAACATAAAGAAAAGAACAAATTAAAAAGAGATATAAAACTATTGAAACACATGTAAAAGAAAGGACAAATGAATCGTGATTTTATTTATTTATGAGGTTGAAAAAATTTTTTTAAAATTTTTTTTTTTTCCCCCCCCCCTTTTTTTTTTCCCCCCCCCCCCCTTTTTTCCCCCCTTCTTTTTTTCCTTTTTTTAAAAAAATTTTCCCCCTTTTTTTTTTTTTTTTTTTTTTTTTTTTTTTTTTTTTTTTTTTTTTTTTTTTTTTTTTTTTTTTTTTTTTTTTTTTTTTTTTTTTTTTTTTTTTTTTTTTTTTTTTTTTTTTTTTTTTTTTTTTTTTTTTTTTTTTTTTTTTTTTTTTTTTTTTTTTTTTTTTTTTTTTTTTTTTTTTTTTTTTTTTTTTTTTTTTTTTTTTTTTTTTTTTTTTTTTTTTTTTTTTTTTTTTTTTTTTTTTTTTTTTTTTTTTTTTTTTTTTTTTTTTTTTTTTTTTTTTTTTTTTTTTTTTTTTTTTTTTTTTTTTTTTTTTTTTTTTTTTTTTTTTTTTTTTTTTTTTTTTTTTTTTTTTTTTTTTTTTTTTTTTTTTTTTTTTTTTTTTTTTTTTTTTTTTTTTTTTTTTTTTTTTTTTTTTTTTTTTTTTTTTTTTTTTTTTTTTTTTTTTTTTTTTTTTTTTTTTTTTTTTTTTTTTTTTTTTTTTTTTTTTTTTTTTTTTTTTTTTTTTTTTTTTTTTTTTTTTTTTTTTTTTTTTTTTTTTTTTTTTTTTTTTTTTTTTTTTTTTTTTTTTTTTTTTTTTTTTTTTTTTTTTTTTTTTTTTTTTTTTTTTTTTTTTTTTTTTTTTTTTTTTTTTTTTTTTTTTTTTTTTTTTTTTTTTTTTTTTTTTTTTTTTTTTTTTTTTTTTTTTTTTTTTTTTTTTTTTTTTTTTTTTTTTTTTTTTTTTTTTTTTTTTTTTTTTTTTTTTTTTTTTTTTTTTTTTTTTTTTTTTTTTTTTTTTTTTTTTTCCCCCCCCCCCCCCCCCCCCCCCCCCCCCCCCCCCCCCCCCCCCCCCCCCCCCCCCCCCCCCCTTTTTTTTCCCTTTCTATTATTATTTTATATAATATGAAAGAAATTTATATTTTAATATATAAGAAACACAAACTATAATATACATAGTTCTTCTGACCACGTCTAAAAAATTTAGAACTTATTCTAAATTGATAATATATAGTATTGTCTTTTATTGACATAACTTTCACACATAATAAAACAATTTTTTACCGGATTGAAGTTATGTATTTATAATTATTTTTCATAATTTTAAATACATCTTAAATATCTTACATAGGGCAAACTAAACGCAATATGTCCAGCAGACTCAAAGAACACATTGCGGACATAAGACATAGACGACACACAAAATCAGCAGTCTGTCAACACATACTAGATAGGCCTAATCACTACATACGCTTTGACCAACCGAAAGTACTTGCGAAAGAAAAAAGATTCTTCCCAAGATTGGTACGCGAAGCCATTGAAATCAAAAAACACCCCAATTTCAATAGAGAAGACGGCCTAAAATTGTCAAACACCTGGGATCCAATAATATCCAAATTAAAATCTCAAGACAAACAATCCGCGAAAATAGAGGACACCGTGAGCCATTTCTGCCAAAACCCCTTTAGTCGATACCAACTCTGGGGAAACAAATACAGATAATACAACTTTTTCTACAGCTGTGATACTTTTTGACATTCAACACCTTTTGTCTTCAGTCACCGTGACCACGCACCCTGTAAAGCACGCGAAACGTCGGCTAAATTAAAAATTATGAAAAACAATTATTAATATATAACTTCATTCCGGTAAAAAAATGTTTTATTGATAATATATTGTTAATTTACTCGTAACATAACAGAATTAAAGCCATTGCAAAACATAGATAATCATAATAATAAAGATATTGACTGGATATTGAAAGTTAAAAGAAATTTTATCTTAGATAATTTGTAATCTATGTGAAATCTTTGTCACTATTAAGAATTTTTAAACGAAAAATGTCTTATCGTCATCATTGTTACACAAAGGCTGAAATTCCTATCACCATTTGATGGGAGTGATAAGTTCGCTTATTACCTTTAAATATTTCACTTCACCATCGTCATTTTATTTAGGAACACAAAATTAGGACCAACGATATAACAAGAAGTAATACGTAATAGACTATATAAAAATAAAGTAATATATTAAAATGGGATACAAAAAAAACAAAAAGAAATAAATTGAAACTACATTGTGTGCATTAAGAATTAGATTGTATTATCGTGTCCTACCTTTAGGCCCCTTCGATAAATTGACCTTTCAACTTATAACGGTTTTTCTTATCTTTATAATATTGTTTGTATAGTTAAGCATTATACGTCAAGCGCAAAAATAAAATTGTATTAATCATCAACGGTTAGCCGGTGGTCTTACAAGACAGACAGGTAGGCCTGCGGTGATATAATTAAAATGATGGTAACTTTATTTTCATAATATTCACTCTTTTGTAAGACAGTTCAATGTGGGCGATAATATATCAATTTTATACAAATGCCAATGACTTATTTCCCAGTTTCAAATATGTAATAAAAACTACGTTTATTAGGCCAAGAATTTTATAAACTAAAGAATTTATATAAAACAATCACTATATATTAATGAACTTTACTTTATAGAGAGTTTTTTACGCCAGCTTTTTCTCTCGGGCTACTCCCTCTGTCTTCTTTGCCGATGAGTAGGGATGTCTAACGATACAAATTTAATGACGTGGAATAAGTGATACCTGTATCTTATATTCCATAATAAAAATATTTTTTTTAAATTTATTACTTTAACTACTCTGAATTCAACATGGCAAAAGAGCGTAGTAGTTTTCATTTAGTTTAAATTTACCGCGTTGTCGCTGACGTCTGACAGCGCATGTCAATAAAAGGTTGTTTTTCAGCGATGACGGTTTAAATTGTTAATATTGTGAGCAATGATTTGAGAAATAATAAAAACCTGAGTAACGAGCATTAAATGTTGTTGCTTTGTTTTTCAAAGAAACGCAATTTTGTATTTTCTTTTAAGCATTATATATTTAACACTCGCGTACAACAAAAGGATAAACGGCAATGGTATGAAATGTTAGTAACTGTCAATACCCTCGCGAGCTATCTAGCTAAGTGTTCATGGGCTTTTGTAAGACTTTACATCAGATCTTCTACTTGTTGGCTCACGTGTAACTAACGCCTTCGATACTTGCGGCGTTTATAAACTAAGAAATGCGTTGTACCCAAATAAAAAGCTTTGGCGCATTTTTATTATGGTTTTCTTAATACCAGAATTAAAAACACAATAAAAATAAACTTCCATATTAATAAACTACTCTTTGTCAATACGCAATAACGTGTAAGCAAATTTATCGCAGAGTAATGATTTTACACTAGAATATTTAACCTCAGCTTAACCCAGACGTTATTTAACGTTAAACGTCAAAAGTGACAAATAGATTACAGGTTATGCCAAATAAATTACTACACTTGAATAGTTTACGTTATATCAGTATTGCCTGTTTAAAATAATAATAAACAATTTTTAGTCTGTATAAACGTATGTCATATAAGTTTATACAGCTAAATAGTTGTAATAGCAGCTAAATTGGTTGAGTTTTATTCTACCGGAATAAACGATTCATTTATACTTACGTTGTTTAAAGGTCCTCAACCAGTCAATGGGGTAGGGACCATTTCTTTGTTTAATTTTTTTTTTCAAATAGATTTAAACCTGAGAAGTGATCACGTGGATGTTGTGTGTTATTACGCCGGGAATCGAGTACAGGATTCCGGGTATGCTATGTGGGTTTACTTGTAATAAAGAAATGTAATTTAATGTGTCTTTTTCAGGTCGCGCCCTCCTTGATCGCCTACGCAGTACGACGCTAAGCGAGATGATGTTGACGAGCGGAGAAGGTTTATTGCTTCCCGCTCCGCTTGATGCTGCGCCTTACTCTACCATCGAGGCTAATGCTACATGCGGTGAGATGGGTACAGAAGAATTTTGCCGAGAGACGCCTGGCAAGTAGGTGTCTTATTACTAATTCTAAAAAAAATCTAATTTGTATAACAGTACCCTGGCCGTAAATAAGTACGATAGTTTATTTATGACTAGTAGACACTACCAACTTTGATTTACAAAGTTCTAGAATGTTAAAGATAAAATCATTTATTACTATATCGTTACATATGTAAAACATTAACAATGAAAGATAAAACTAAATATAGAAATTAAAAAAAGATAATTGCAGTGCGCAGTGTTAATGTCATTGTTAGATAAATAAAATATATATTATACAGACGTATATATTTTTTATACTTATAAGAAAGAGTTCTTACAGGCGTGGCATAGCATGTGATGTTTGTGAGGGTCCCGATGGGCCGGCCTCTCGACGGCATCCTCCAATCCTGGCGATTGATGGAGACCCTTCTACTTGGTGGCAAAGTCCCTCTATGGCTGTCGGAGAGGAGTACAAACATGTTGAGTTAATCGCCACTTTACCCGATGTAAGTTGATAGAAGAACCTTCTATTATTGAAGCTATACTTCTTTTGGCGCGTTAGGGAAAAATGATGAGAGTAAATTTTTACGATGCGCGCGCAAAACCGTTACAGCGTCACAAAAAAACGACACCCTGAAGTTAGCTATAACCAACTTTTTTTGTTTTTTCTATTGTTAGCGTCGTTTTTTCTACAAACGTAGAATAATTTTTTTATCTTGTTACGTCAAAGAAGTATGACTTCTAACGCGTGTACATAAGTACAGACACGTTTTTATTTATTAATTTAGATATTTAATAATTTAGATTTTTGAGTGCGACTCTCATCTCTGAGGTTGTAAGTTCGATCCCCGGCTGTGCAGGATGGACTTTCTGTCTTTTTGCGCAATTAACACACGCTAGTACGATGATGAAACCTCAGTGAGGAAACCGGTATGCCTTAGACCCAAAAAGTCGTCACATACCCGATGTGTCAGGCAGAAGAGGCTGATAAGATATAGTATTCTGTGGCCCATACCAAAAAGGTTGGATCGCCACTGTTTTTTTTTTATTTGGATGTTTTATATAATAAATAACTATTTAACGCATATTTTACCACGATTTATCCTGATTAATGAATGATCATAATAATATTATGTTTATTACTAATAAATTCAATATGTAACGTATTAATAAATATTTTATACCTACGTAATCCGCGACAGACGGTGCGTAGGCGAGTCTGACTGAAATCGTAATAGTAAATAAACACAACGTTGTTTATAAAGCGTCTGGCTTGAATAAGATTGTGGTGTTTGAAAAACACTTTACCGAAATGAAACGCGTTTCATAATCATAATTTTACAACTGTGACGCTTCTGCACACTGGGCTCGCAAAATGCTTGCCAGTGTTATAACATTTCAAAAAGTAGGCATGAAATATGCCATATATTTTTACGATACAAGGTAAATGGTTTTGGCAAATAAGTGAGTGTTACCAAGCTTCCATTAATAATACTTCTCTAGTAATCCTCTCCCCCGACCCATAAGGTGAACTCTAGTCTTTATTTTTATTTGTATTTTAATTTTAATAAATTCAAATCAAAATAAATTAACTGTCTACTAGAGCATAAACAAATAAGGTCCACCATCTAATTACTACTCCTCCTGTCTGCCCATCACCCCACTATCGAAGGTATTGATCCCACTAATATTAATCTTATCGAATCCCCTAAACTTGAATCCCCCCCCATCCCTCCAACTCTCCCCCTTACCACCACTACTGGTCCTCCCCTGATCAACAGGTGATGGCCTCCACTAATTATCTATTGGCCTATTTACCTTAGCCTCGGGAACTTCTTATCGGACTTCCATTGTTTAGTCATTCATATTTTTTGCAAAATCTGCTTGTACTATCGAATAACAACTTTAAACTCATTATAATAAAGGATGAATCCTATTAGATAATCACTATCTAATCTGCCATTATCAAATTGGTATGAAATGGAACAAATCACTCCTCCCAACTATGTGGCCTTAGAAAAAGAAGAAAAGAGATACGAATGTGGCCATTACGTTTTTAGGAAGGATAAAAAACTCATTTTAACAATGTTTAAATCCAAGAAAGTGGCTCAAAAACTTGAATCCACTCTTACCGAAATAAGTAAGACAAACACAAATATCCAACAACTATGTCCTTCCTCGCTGAACAGAATGTAGAACTTAAAAAGAAGTTAGAACTTCCTCGAAATAGAAAGGAAAAAGACAAGGAACATTTTCTTTTTGGAGGGACAGCTAAAGACTTAAAAAAGATAGATTGAAGAATAACATTGAAATAAAAAAATGCACCCAAGGCTGATAAGGAAACAAAAGAAGACCTTATAATTATGACCTTAGAGTTGGCTAAATCAGTCAACTGTCAGTTGAGTGAAAAAAATTAATGATATTTACAGGATAAGATTTAGAGGGAGGGAATGCTAGTTCCCCTAAATAGTTGATTAACATACCTTATTAAAAATGAAGTTTCTACACCTTAAACATACAACTTGAAGAACAAGGATAAATTACAGAGCTAAACACCCAGATTAAAATCACAAGGTCAAAAAATATCCCTGTCTAGTAGCAGAAAGCTGACCGCCTCAGGGCTCGGCTGTACTTCCTTGCTAGAGATCTAATGAGATCAAACTATAAGTTTGCTGGACTTCCTATGGCCGTTCTACGTCAGAAAATCTGAAAATTCACCCATTATCACTATAAATAATGAACAACTCCAATCTAGGAAGCAATACTACTTAATTCTTGAACCTTTTATCTCTCTCTGTCTTTGCTTGCTCGGCCCATTTTGTATTTTTGTTTTACCATATTATGTTATTTCATACTAGTTTTACTTATTGCCCCAATAACACCCAAACCACATCTTTTTAACTACATGGTAAAATATCTTATGTTATTCTTTTATCAAATTTTGTTCCCGATTGTACACACATTACTCATTACTACTACCAGACCATAATACTTTATTAACAAAGGCTTATTCGGCCCTCCTACTACACACACACCTTCTCACTTTCCACATTATCAGTACGCGATACTTTCATAATAAGTAGACTATTTAACACACTTCATAACCAACAAGCTAATAAAATATGTTTATTTAAAATTCCTCCAATTTGGATAACGTAATCTCATATAACAGAAATTGACAATAGTGAGGTGGCTAATTCTAGCTTATGTGATGTTCATGACATATGTAACCAATCCCTAAATTTCATAAAAATGATTTAAAAATAATTTCTCAGAATATTGTGTGGTTACAGCAAGTTAATATTTCCAACTCACCCTCCCAGCTTAATTTTAACATTTGATAATTTTAACTGAATGTAGAATAGATAGTGATAAACCATACCCCAATGAGAACTACACTTCTTTTCCCCCATTAAACCAATTATGGTGTTGTTATCTATGTTTCTAGAAAACACAGTGTCAATTCAAAAAATTTTCTAACACATGCATCCTGCCTCCAAATTTTACTTTGTGGAGTTACCTGCTAGGAATATACCGGTCCCCTTCACATACTAATTCCGACCCTTCCGACTCATGACCGACTTTAACATCTTTGAAAAATTGTATTAATTTAATTATACCGGATATTAAATAACCTGATTGAGAATGATGCCCCACAGGCAATACCGCTTTACTTTTAAACATGCTCTATCACGGCTTGCTACCTGCCATGTACTACCTACACGGTATGTAATTGTCTGGATCACTTTTCTGAGACTAGACAAAAATAAACATTCCCAAATATAAATGTAATAATACTCTTCCTATCCTCCACCATTTCTTAAGGCTCTCCAATTACCAAAGTCAGGTCTTCCACTAAACAAAACATTCATTGATTACGATAAGGCGATACTACTCTAAGAGATACACATTTGGCTACTTAACTTATTAAACAACCCCAACATATTATAGAGCTCTTACTAAGTAAATAAGCAAACCAGATTTACTACAGTCACTAATCATTATCAAATCTTAGTTAAGCCATGGATGACTTTGGGCATTCTACGATGTGTCAAAATAGAAACAGAAAAGCTAAAATTAGACCCTGATAATGAAATTTTAAAAATAACTCCTAGATTCGAAATTATTGTAACAAATTAATCAAAACCTAAAAAAATTATAATAAACACAACTAATTCTAAATAAAAACACTCAAAAAAATAGGCAAACTCAACTATTACAAATCGAATAAAAATAAAAGCGACAATTACGAACTGCTCACTGTAAAGAAACACACAAGAGTCTATAGATCTTGTAATCAATATTTTACCCAAGTTGGCAAATCCTAGCAGAAGGTATCCCTTGCACCACCCATAATTTTCTGACAAAATATTTCGAATTATCCTCACTTAACTTCATTTGTATTAAGAGATACTACAATGATGAGGTTCTTAATGTCCTGATGGGGTTAAAATCAAATAGTGCTCAGCTGGATGGCATTCCTACCCAATTCTTAAAGCTAACTGCTGATATAATTGTCCCTATTATTGTTCATTTGATCAATCTATGCTTTGCTCTAGGTGTCTTTCCAGATGCACTGAAAATCGCTGTAGTTACCCCAGTGTACAAAGGAGATGATAGAACGGATATAAGCAATTACAGGCCTATTTCTGTTTACCACCTATTGCCAAAATACTGGAGAAAATAATTAATAAACGTTTAATGAACTACCTTAATACATTTAATATCCTCTCCCCAAGTCAATATGGCTTTCAGAGGGATTTATCGACAGAAGATGCCTGTTGGATCTCACATCCTTATTACTAATGCTGTGGATAAAAAAAAAATGTGCTGCAGTGTTTTTGGATATGAAAAAGGTGACTCATATCAATTCAACCTTATCGACAAGTTGGAGAAAATAGGCATAAAGAATTCCCTTAAATTATTCAAAGACTATTTATGCAATCGAAAACGAGTGTAAAAATAGGACCAAAGTGAACAATGTAAATACCTTCAGTCCCAAGGAAGGTATTGGGGCCCACTCTATTCCTTGTATATATTAATAATTTATGTAACATGGATATAGAAAGGGAACAATGTTCACTTATGCTGACGACACTGCTGTCGTTTTTGTAGCTGACACCTGGGTGGCTGTTAAAAATAATTCCCAAAAGGGCCTTGCAAGAATAGCTAAGGGCTCACGATAACCTTTTGACCCTCAATACCTCTAAAACTAACTTGTATGCTTCTCCAATTATAACTCCTCTCAACCACCTCACGTTTGCTATTCAAATACATACTTTGGCTCACCTCATTCTATAATATGCTCTCGATTTTATTAAGGGCAAAACTGCGTAAATACCTGGGTACTATTAGACCAACGCCTATCATGGCGCATCATATAGAGCTAGTTATGGCTAGAGTAAGAAAACTCATATGGTTATTTAAAAATCTAAGACACGTAGCTGACTCGGCCCTCCTAAAACAAATTTATACTGCTCTTGCGCAGTCAATATTAATATACTCATTCCGGCCT